TAACTGCAGGTATCTTCAAAAGATGTATGATGGAACGAATAGTTGTTGTGTGAGAGATAAATGTTTGGGATGAAAGTATCCCATGCATCAGCCACTGCCTCTGATTGGCTGTACATTATTTGTGCATTGTCTGTTTTACTTGTATTAAATTATCACACATCATTTGTGTATCAATATGCTGTACAATATATTAGGTGATTGTAAATTCCACTGATTTATAGGTAGTGTATTTTAGGGTTGGATTTATAACATATAAATACTACCTATCCATTTTTTTTACCTGAAAAAAAATGTAAATTCCACTGATACTTATTTTTGACCTGTATATACGTTAACTCCATTGATGGTAAAATCCAAAGATTACAACCTTATAGACGTGCTAAAAATATTTAAACACTTTAATTTCGTCTTTCGAGGCAAACAATTTTACCATTATGCAATTCGTCAATGCTGTATCTAAACTACATCAAATCAAATTTTAAGTTTTCTTTAAGTAAGTATTTTTATCAATTTATTTTAATTAACCTTATTTTAACTACAAACTAATGATAACTTTTCATTATTATTTTATTTATTTTAATATTGTGTAAAAATAAATATAATATATATAAATAATATATCTGTACATAAATTATGTAGTTACGTAATATTTATGTACTGTTAGTTATTATTAATAATTATGTATTTTTCTATTTTTCTATTTGATTATAATATAAATTTTTTTTAATTATTTTATTGAAATACAATAAATATATTATAATAAATCTTAACATAAATTATATAATCTTAGTTAATCAGATTGGATTTTGATTACAATTTTGAAAAAAAATAAAACATACTGGTGGAGTTTAAATTTTTTTCAGGTAAAAAAAACGTACCGGTGGAGTTTGGATATAGTTGAATTGCACTTGGGTTTAAAAAAGGTAATGGTCGAATTGCACTCGGGTAAAAAGCAGGTAGTAGTCGAATTACACTTGGGTTCAAAAAAAGTATTTCAACCAAATTATCATACATTTGAAGGAGTTAAACATTTAGTAAACACTCATTTTTCTTCTCGCTTACAGGCTTAGGACTGACAACGATTTTAATCATTAGCGTGGTTAAAAATGATTGTTTTATACATCACATTATGTTAATTATATATTTATACATTATAATTCTTATATTATATTACATTATAGGTACATATTATTATTATACATTTTTTTTATTTTTTTTTTTTAAATCGTCAAATTTAATTGTTGTCAATATTATAATTTTTTTTTATCATTTTTTGTAGTAATGACAAACTACATTCAAAAATTCTAACTTGGAAATATGCTTTTAAGTATATAAGTCAATATATTTTTCAATATAATTTATTTTTTTTCTGATACCTTGTTGTTGATGGTCTTGTGTCAGTGTTCTGCATTAAAATATAAGTATCGTTTTGTGATTGTCGATTTTTGGTGTCAATCATTATCTGCGTTATCTAAATGGCGTTCACAAACTACTATACATAAATACATAATGCTATTAAATAGGCACGTCCGCCGTAGCATTCGTAAACATAAGATTTTTAACGGGTTTTCACTATACACGTTCAACTCGTAACAAATTTCCACAGTTTTTCCATTTTAACTCTATTTTTGAACGAGTGCAGTTCGATTACTACCTAATTTTTACCCGAGTGCAGTTCGACTATTACCTTTTTTCAACCCAAGTGCAATTCGACCATTTCTTTGTAGGTAATAAGTGCAATTCAACTATCCCGTGGAGTTTACATATTTTTTTTAAGTAATATAAACGTACTGGTGAAATTAACATGAAAAAAAGTCCAAAATGGTCGCAATCGGTGAGTTTACTTGCGCCCAATATAATTGTATAAAAAATAATTTTTGATTGAAAATTGAATGATTTTCATAAATCATATAAATAAATGCATATATTGAAATGAACTATTTTGTTGACACATTGCAGTCATAGTTAAAATACAAATATACATTAGCTCAAATAATAATAAATTGAAAATAATTAAATTTCAGATACATAAATATGATCTCACAAGTTTTCAATGTTTTTTTCCCACATAAAAATACTTTTGGAAAATTATTCCAGCTTTTCCACGGTTTGAATTAACAAATTTTATTTGAATCATGTTTACATGTACTCAAAACTCAAAAGTTAAAATTACATTATGATAAAGTAATCTTCAGTCTTCACGTCTTATAAAACCGTACGTCTCGACATTGTCTCATGTGTTTTACTATCCAGTAACCTATACTATCTCGTTAACAATATTATCACAATATTATTTATCATAATATTAACTATATTATATACTTTAAAACACTATAATCTGTACATTATATGAAAATTGGATGTTACAAGAGTAAATTTGAATATGTATGAATTTTTAAATCAAAATTTGAAAACAACTAGCACATTTGGGTATACACCTTTCTTTTAGTTCTATTGTTAAATAATATTGATGTGGAAATGATGTATAACCCAAAAATCGAACAATGTGAACTGTCTTACAAAAAAGGTCAAAATTAACAATAGCAATGGTCAAACGACAACCGGTGGTCTGATCGCACATTCGCACCCCGAACTCGCTTTCACCTTTTCACCTGAAAAACCTCAGGTACTACCACACACATGGGGATGAAATTATATAGGATGACAACTAAATAATGAGGCGTACGATTAACAGAAAAAATATATATATGCTTCAATTTTACAAATATGCACAAAAAATATCACGAGAAGTACATGTTTTTGGGATGAAATAATATAATTAAAAAAATATTGTGATCGTCGGATGATAACAATCTAAAAACGCGAACAGGGACAAATGGACGCGACCGTTTGGACGCCAAGTCATTTAGACGCTACAATTTGGGCGCTAGTATATTTGGACGCGAGAACAAAATAATAGTTATTCAATTCTTTATTTTTACTTATACCAATGACAATAAAATAGAAATATACGCATATTATAGTAAAATTATTATAAAACATAGTTTATAAACATACATTTTATTCAAATATTTATAATAATAAAACAAATTAATCAATACACTGGTCTAAACGATTTCGTGCTTAAACAATAACGTCGATTTCGATAACGTAGGTTAAATCCTAATATCATGATAAAACTATAATTTTAATTATAATTATTAATTTTGTCTTCGCGTCCAAATGTACTGGCATTCAAATGGCTGCGTCTAAATGACTTCGCGTCCATTTCTTCTAGATCGCTAAAAACGCACGCTGTAACCAACGGTGTAATAGTTAACGCAACTTAAATTGCCGTTTAACAAAATTTCAAAACGATAATATCGATTGGTTGAAATTGTTTTCAAAATCCGGGTATCATTTATAGCATATATTTAATAATGTTTCATTTAATCAATAAGCATTATACATAAAATGATTATTAATCAGAAATTAAAACTTTTAAAATTCAAATTCATAACTCAGCTGCGAATTGCAATTACGTATTACTGTACTACACAACAACGATAATACTTTAAACATTATACGCTAAAATTATTCTAGTTACTAAAATACAACCATAATATAGTTATACATACCTACTCAACAAATCTGAAAATTATACTCAGTACTCATGTAGTCACGTGGATGATGTAGTATCTACTGATTTTTCCTTGACAGCACTGCAGTAGAGTTGCTGCTCATTACCATCAGTCCTAGGGTTGCTCGTTACTAGATTATAGATTTTAATTAGGTGGATGCGTATTATAGTGTTGTTATGATGTCGATTGTTTATGTCCTGTGATGAATTATTGGATAAACTGTTGTCGAAACTTACCGCTAAACCGAGTATGTGTCTTATGGGATGAATGGAGTGCATTTATAACAATAATTTCAATAATGACAATTATGATTACACGTAGTGGCAACGATATTGTCAGATAATTGAAAATTCCAAAAATTCACATATTTTCTAAGAGGATAAACAGAAAAATGTCATGCGTTTTCTTACTTTAATGCACAAATATAATACAAAAACGTGGTTGCATATAGACAGGTCAGATAATTTCATCCTGTAATAAAATATTCTACGATTCTGCCTTTACGGTTTTAATTCAATTTGAATTCGTTTTCATTAAGTTTGTTATGATAGGTCGATGTAACAATTACTACCTATGTAGGTACTAACAAAATTTAAGGTTTTACTATTATTGAAATTATTAACCTAAAAACTATTTTTATAAATATAAAGAGGCAGCGTGCAAGCGCGCTACATGTAATTTTATCAAAAAAATTTTTTTTTAAACCCAATCGTTATAAATTGTTCGTAAAGAATATCGGAATTCTCTTAAAAAAAAATTATTCAAAAATATAAAAAGTTATCATGTCGTAAATATATTATTGTAATATAATATAATGATAATGTTTGTTTGTTATTTTACATTAAAGCCTATAAAAGTACCTACTATAAATTAAATGTTCGAATAATATGTTGTGACATTTTTTTAAGCTGTACACAGTTTACTATTAGAAATATTTTGTGGTAAGTTTCCTATTATTTCTATTTACCTATTCTATATTTCTATTCATTATTTAGTGTAGGTACACAACAATATAACTATTTTATTTTTTGTATTTTATGTTCATTTACCATACTATATACAGTACGGTTTACAAAAATGTACCTCGATATTACTACAACTATACTCAGTTTAAGTTGTTCCATTTTCGCGCATGCACACTGAGCCGCCGAAACGGTCGGACCTCCGGTCAGTGAACGGTGTTCCGTGATTGGTCGCTGCCATCGCCGATCGTCGTAAACTGTTGGGAATAACAGCTGCCGCCGCGCATACGACAGCTGCTGCCACCATTGTATGCAGAGTATTAAAATTAATATAAATTTATTTTTCATAATATGTATATCATTCTGTAATATACATATTATTTTACAATTTTAAAACATCGGCATATTTACATATATTTTTTACAATTTTAGAACATTATTAGAGGTATATTAGGTTTTAGCCGGACTCGGAATCTGATGATGTATCTCCGGTGATTGTCATTGTCAAATTTGATATCTCCGATTCCAACACTTCGTCTACAATATAATCTATCTGCCAAAATTTTTTTTCTTCTTTTTTCGTATGCTCTACAAAGTTTTTCCACATCTTTCCATCTACTCGTTTTATACCCTCTATTAATAATTTTTTTACATCGGATAATTTAAAAGTAGAATTATTCATTTTTACGTGATTCTTGACGGATGACCATGCGAGTTCGATGGGATTGAGCTCGCAATGATAAGGAGGTAGCCTTAAAATTGTTTTATTGCTAGCTTCGGCGAGTTCGTCTATAACATACTTATTATAAAGTGGCTTGACTCTCTTAACAATGTCCAATAGTTCTGGGATAACCATAGTATTATCAACAACTTCGCCTTTATTTTGTAACCATGAAATTATATCGGCCTTCCTTGTAGACGATGTCGGTGCTTTTTCTTTCTTTACCGAGTGATACGGCACATTATCCATTACTATAACACAGTTGTCTCGTAGTCGAGGTAAAATGTTTTCCATCCATTCATAAAATGTTTTGCCATTCATCTCATCATGATAATCATATGAGTTTTTTTTCGATTCAAAATATAACAACCCACCGGAAACAAACCCATCTTCAGACCCGATATGTAAAACAATAAGGCGTTTACATTTGCCATCACTTGAATTCGGAGCACCGGTTGAGAGCCCTTCAGGGAATGCATCACAGTGGGATTGTAATGTTGAATCTACTTTATTTGGACATTCGCCAGTATTAACCCATGTCTCGTCTAAATAATAAATTTGACGACCCTGTTCTCGGTATTCTTGTATTGTCCGTAAATATCGTCTACGCCATAAAACGATTTCGTTTTTTTCTGTTAGGGCACTATTACGACTTCGCTTACAATAACGGAAATCTAGATCTTTTATCAGTTTAAATAAATTGGTACGCGATATAGTTGGTAAACTGTCGTCATTAGACACTAGTCTATGAATTTTATCGATGGTCGGAATTTCACGTCGAAACCAAATACTATGTATATGTCTGCGGACTGAATTTCTCGAGAAGTCATCATATAAATGGAAAATATTTTCTCTTACCCTTTTGCGTTTTGGAGAAGTCACTGTGTTTTTCTTCTTATATTCATTGATTATCCTGTATACAGTTGAGTCGCCAATTCCCATAGATTTCGAAATAATCCGTCTCATATTTCTTATGGACACATTAGGATCTTTCTCCAAATTTGTCTTGTACATATTAATGATTTTTAACCGTTCATCAAAACTGATTATCTAAAATAAAAATATTTTTATTTTTTAAATATGTACGTTTAGTACATTAGTACCAATAGTTCAGGAAATATATTGAAAAAAAAAATGTTTTACAAAATAAATTAGAGGAAAAAAAGAAAAAATAAACTAATTAAAAATAGTACTTTACGTATAATAACTAAATATATTATGTTCCATAATACTCACTTTTCCTCGTTTATTTTTTTTTATTGGTGATGGAAATGTTTCATCTGGTGGGCTTGCAGTTTCTGTTTCGTCTCTATTATCCATCGTTATAAATAAATGGTCGAATAAAATAAAAACTAACAAAAAAATCAGGATATAATTAAGTGTTTAAATAGATCAGCGGAGTATTCAGGATATACATGTGCACGCGAAATAACGTAAAAACGTTGTGTATTGTGTAATATAACACGCGATGTTTAGTGTCATATTTAACAGGTGGTAATGCGACATCAGACATCAGCGCTGCCAAACAAGCGCAACCAAAACCAATTTTCGTTTTATTTATCAACATAACATAACAAGATGGTTACTTCAATCAAAAAAAGATTTTAAAATTCCCGCCAAAGTAAATACTAAGTTTTATCTAATTAAAATTATAATTAAAAAGTGTCAAATATATTTTGATTTTTAGGCAACTGCAATAATTACTTTTTTAATGAAAAGTAGAGAAGCTGTTCAAGACTAACCGCAATATGCATTTAAAGAGATTGACAATTACGATATTATACTTCAAGCACCAACTATGCCCAATTCTTACATAAGGTATCTTTTAGTACATTTCAAATAAGATTTATTATTTACTATTAAATTTTTATAAACAAATTTGGAAAATGTATTAATTTATTTATTCTAGATTTATTGAAAAGTCAGTTGAAGAATTAGATACAGAAGTAGAATATGATATGGATGAAGAAGATGCCGCTTGGCTACAAATTATAAATGAACGCAGGGAATCATCAGGCTTAGTAGGAATATCAATGGTATCTTTTGAACTGTTAATGGATCGTTTAGAGAAAGAATCTTATTTTCTTGTAGTATGTGGTTTTGCTTATATAATTATGTCAATTAAAATTTAATACAATTTTAAGTACTTGTAAATAGATATTTAATTTATTAATTTAGCAAATGAGCAAAGAAGTTGATAGTAGTTTAGCAGTCATTGATGACAAAGTTGTTTGTTTTATTTGTCTTGATGGTAAATGTCAAAATTCAAACATTATTCTTTTTTGTGATATGTGTAATCTTGCTGTTCACCAAGACTGT